CACACATTTAATTAAATGCGAGATTATAGGCGTGTGATTGAAACTTTCGAATAGTCCTAACCGATTCACTATATAAAATTCGCTTACTAAAAAATGGAGTTATATATTTTCAAGTTTTTTTTTCAATTTCATAAAAAAATAATGGAATGTAATTCCTGGAGAAAAATGGTGAAACAGCACAGGTTTACTAGTTAGATTCAAAGCTTGTTGATACCGGTTTCAAGCCCAGCATCTTCTTTTTAAATAAAAAATTGCACTTGTAATATCTATAATATTCTTTGCTTGCTGTTCAGCGAGTGTATTTATTGGTGTTGAACCGTTGGAAGTTTCAGTCTTTGTCCAAGTTGATTGGAGTACAGAAGTACTTTGTGCATTTTCTTCAAACTGAACCCAAGTTTTAGTGATGGTTCGCATAAGAATAAGTGTGGCAATCACATTTCTGGTAAATTAATTTGAATTTGTGTTTGAGATGCCACAGTGTTTTTTGGCTCATTACGTGTTTTCCTTTAAAATATACAAATTGCAAATAAAAATCGTTTTCAATTTTTCTTCTTGCAAAAGATGTTAATAATTGTTGGTGAATCGAAGCTGGCTCCAACAGTTCGATTGAACAATGGCTACGAAATGCCTGTGATTGGCCTAGGGACATTTGAGGTGATCTATCCATAGTTGGTTCAATTTAATTGGGAGTCGAAGTGATGGTTACTTTTTCTGTGTAATTTGATAATTTTCAGTCAACGTCCGGTGAAGTTGGACAAGCCGTGAAAGACGCTATCGACGCTGGTTATCGTCATATTGATACGGCATTTCTGTACGGAAACGAAGCTGAAGTTGGAAATGCAGTTAAAGCAAAAATTCAAGAAGGCGTGATAAAGCGAGAAGACATTTTTATTACGACTAAAGTAAAATTCCTTCCATCTAATAATTCAATTTGTTCGAAAACAAAATTCATTCAGATTTAATTCAAATACAGTTGTGGAACACGTTTCATGATGACGAATTTGTGGAGAAGGCTTTTCAACGATCATTCGACAACTTGGACTTGGGCTACATCGATTTATATTTATTACATTATCCAATAGCGTACAGTCGTGTGGTGGAGAACAGTCGTCTCCCTCCGGGCGATGTGAATGCATTCTATGTATTTCCATTCGAAGATGGTTCAAGCATTCGATGTTTAACATCACAGATACTGTATCATGTTTTTAGTGCGACTAGACTTTTCTGTAAACTACCCGACAATTTTAAGATAATAATTTGCTTTTTGATCAATGGTGGTTACACTCAACAAATATTTACTCTAGGCAAAACGGCGAAGGCTGATATTGACTATGTGGATACTTGGAGAGCGATGGAAAAATTGGTGCAAAGTGGTCGCGTGCGAAGTATCGGCATATCAAACTTCAACAGTGAGCAAACTGATCGTGTGCTGTCAATCGCTACGATTAAACCGGTCACAAACCAGGTTACTACTATCGTCTATTCAAAATTGCAAGAGAAAAACCAATCAAAGATAACTATCGATAACAGGTTGAATGTCACCCGAATCTGAATCAAGTCAATCTTATCAAATTCAGCGCTGCTAGAAACATGACGATTACTGCTTATTCACCGTTAGGCAGGCCACACACGCCGGGAGGCCAGCGATTGGCTATCTCTGACTCGAGAGTCTCGGATTTGGCGAAAAAATATCAAAAAACACCAGCTCAAATCATCCTACGATACACGGTAAGCTTCGTATACGTTTGATTTCATAAAACACGGGCTAATTTTTATTTAAACAATGTAATCAAATGTGACTCGTGCTAGTGACAGCTTCACTACTAGTGAAATGTCAGAGACATTCGTTACCTATCTATGGATTTCATCGAGTCTTGTTTGAGGCAAGAATTAAATTCTCATTTTTTGATTTCAGATCCAAAACGGAGCAGGTTCAGTTATTCCAAAATCAACAAACAAAAATCGCATTCGCGAAAACTTTAACATTTTTGACTTCGAGCTAAGCGATAGTGACATGCAAATCATGCGCACTTTGAATAACAACCATCGCCTAATTGCATATGAAGGGGATCAAGACAGTAAATACTATCCATTCAACATTGAGTTTTAGGCATCACTGAAGAAAAGACTTTGCATACATGAATTGTTCTATATTTTAATCTCTTTATTAATCGACCCAATAAAAATATTTCAATAAACTTGACTTAAAAACGTAACATAAAATCTTTTTCCATCTTTATATACCTTGCCAGTTTGAAGAAACGGAATATTACAAAAAAAGGGATTTAACGAGTTTCTATATTCAAAACGCAATCAGCTGTACTTATTTATAGTTGAACAAGTATACGATTTTCACACCACCATTTTTTGAAAACTAAAATCCTAAAGACACTTCGAAATGATGGATTCTCATATATACATTTAGAGTGGCTATTTTTGCATTTTTGTAATGAAAAATAATTTCTTCTTTCCAAAATCCGGGCAAAAATATTGCCGGCACTTTGCTGGCAGCTATTGGCAGATCCTTAGTCCAATACCGACCCTGTCGAATAAATTTTTACAGTAGATCGTATGTATATTTGAATGAAGACATTCGTATTACCGCTTTAATAGGACAAATTCGCCTACCAAACGATGGTGCTGGAAAATTAGTTACATTTTTCGTTGCATCAAAAGCGATGAACGGCCGAAATCTTTCTAACACATTACATAATTTAGCTCTTAAAATTTGAATCGGTGTTTTGACGTAGTTGATGTCGTTGAAGCGATTGTAATAGAAATACGTCTCAATCTCCCAATCATCATCCACATCAATTAAAATATCAACGTCTGATTGAAGAGCATGGGTTCTATGATCCAACCTATCAATTTTTAACTGTGTGAAATTGAAGACACCCGAATACGTAGAGTTCAATATTTCAATCCGATCGGGTTGAACTTCATTGAAGAAGACACTGTGAAAAGTGTAGAGGATAATACCGATGGCCAACATGTAGAATAACCAAATCATTTTCACTTTTAGCTCTGAAGTCAAAATAAACTACTGGAGCTTTATTATTGACACCCGATTTATATTGCATTCTTTGCATGATGATACGTTTCTGGATCAAATCGATAAAAATGGTATTGCATGACGATAATCAAAGCGAGAATTAATGAAATTGAAGCTCAGAGTTGATATTTTATAAAGCAGAGATTAAATAATTCTATTTTCGGAAGCCGGTAATAATATATAGAGGTCACTTGAACTGTCGAAATTGTTTTCCTAATGAATAATATTTACAGTCGCTGTATGGAAAAGTTGAAAATAGGAAATAATGACACTAAAAAAGAAAAAAAAAAGAAAAACAGTGCAGATGATATAGAATTAGTAATAAATTTATTCATATAAAAAGTGTTGACAAAACAAACATGTATTCGTGAACAATTTTCTATGTGATTTGTATTGTTTTAACAACTATTTTCTGCCGCTCATCGGGAACGGTTCATTGAATCCGTTGCAATTACATTATGATAAAAATTGTATTCAACCGTAGTGTATTATAGTTAGTAAATCTACTGCATTTGAGTTGCTTAAGATAGGATATTTATGTTAGAGTATGGATTTGTTTGTCGTTGTTCCTATAAATAGAATTTTTGTTGTTGATTGTGATTCGGTTCTCCAGGAATTTGGGTCGAAAAAAGAGATAATCTTAAAAATCTATTATGTGATTAAGCAAGTTGTTACGTGGATCAATTTCTATTTCATTCGAATTACGTAAATTTTGTAAACTAAACAATTTCTATTTTCCTTATAACAATATGTTCGAAAAGGCACATCGGAATTTTTCTTCATTCTACTTCTCGAAATTGAATTTCTTTTTCAATAATTTAGCTTCAAACCAAAAAAATATATAATAATTTGCTAACACAAGTGGAAACTACTAAGCGAGAGAATTTTCGTAAGAGATTGCATTTGAGTCCCTCCACCTACTCTAAATGTAATTGTTCTCCTATTTGTTGTCTTTCGATTACAAAAAAAAGTTTGACTTTGCTGACTAATGGGCTCCGTAATTAGAGAATGCGTCAGTGCAAACGCAGTGAAAATATGGATTTTGTTTTTTATCACAGCATCACGTTAATACAATTAAAGAAAAAGAGAACGGGATAATCCTTAAAATCCATATTGACAGACGACGTATAGATTTCTGTTTTGAAGAATGGAATTTCGTACGAAATGAAAATATATGAGTCGCAGCTTTATTGGCAGTAATTTTTTTTTTTCATAAAATTAAATCCGCTCAATCGTGGACTAGTCTATTTATATGCAGAAAAAGTAACTGTTTGATCGTTCGATTAAACTATTTCGTTTCGGATTCTAAACGGAGTACAATCTTAATTGGCACATCGTCACTGTTTGACATTTATTTATTTTTTCCCATGCACTATCTACTTTGAGTTATTACCGTACCACTCTTTTGGTGGCGATGTGGTACTTGTTGCTTGGAATGATGATGAACTCTGCTGCATATACTGAGTTTCGGTGATTACATGCTGTGGGCGACGTACGCGAGGCTGGAATGTTGTCTGCAAATGAGCAAGTCAAATGATTAAAATCCAAAATTACTTTGAGAAAAAGCACAATTCTATGGCTACGGTGGTCAGGAGTATACAATACATACCAAACGATTACTATTCCGTGGTGATTCTGAGTCTTCGGACACATCATCTGGGATGACCCAGCGTTCAGTGAACTCGGTCGCTGAACGAGCGAGACTAGGTTGGCTCAATGAACGTTGAATCGATCGTCTGTCATATGGATCATCATCGTAATATCTGAAAAACACAGATTATAAATATCAAAACAGGAAAAATGGCAAAAATATAACTTTGTTATGTCAAAACCGTCAAAGTTAAATAAAAAAAACGAATTGAATTAAATTTTCAAATAAAAAACTAATTCGTTAAGAGAATCGAGATGAAAGATATCCGAAAATGAATTGAAAACATTTAAAATTCAATTCAAAATATTCACAAACCTGTTTGGATAGAATGAGCTAACGTCAGATACGTTATCAGATTCGGGACGGCCAAAGTCGACTAAAACTTCAGTCATCGATCGCATGTCGACGTTTTCGGCATTGTATGACGAGCGTGATGTTCTTCGTGACTGTGGTGGATATTGATAAGTGTTGGAGCTGCCCGTCGGAAGCATATCTTGTGGAATGGTTCGAACCGATGAACCACCATCGCTGTCGTATTCGTACAAAGTTGGCAGTGAGCTACGGCGTGATCGTGTATCCCATGGTTCCTTCTTGCGGTTGCGTTTTGGCATGCGCAATTCAACATCGTCTGGCGGTGCTAAGATGCGAATGATAACATCCCATGTTTGTGGTTCGAATATTGTTTCATATCTCGTATCGCTGCGGATACGCTCAAAATCTTCTCGGACAACAGCTTCAGTGAGCATCGTTCGCAGGGTAGATTCAGTGGTGATGATATCGCGCCACTTGATCTTATCATCGTAGCTGATTTGACGTTGCAAAACGTGTTGATTGGTTTGCGAATGCGTTGAGCTGGTATCATCTGGAATTTGAATTGGTGCTGGTGCTGGCACTGGCATTGGTCTTGACATTGTGGTTCTCGTTGTTGAAATTTCCTCCGTTGTTTCTTCCTGGTTTTCCAGAATACGAATCAATACGTCCCAATTGGGCACGGCTTTGTCTTCGGGTGGAATTTCAATCGGTTTCATGTTGCCCACAAGCTCAGGACTAGTAAGTTTTTCGCCAGTTGCATCGATATAAGTTTGAGGTGGCTGTGTATACTTAACCGGTTCAATTTGAACCGACGGAGCACTTGATATATCCGAAAAGTCTTCCCATTGTGGTTTGTCTTGAGTTGGATAGTTGCGAATTGTAACATCCCAAGTTGGATTCGGTGCTGGTTTAGCTTTATATTCGGTGACCATACGCTTGTATTTCTCAATATCTTCAATGGTTGTCTTTTCGGTGATTGTGCGCAAGAATACGTCGTCGACGAGATGCGAGGTGATTTCAGGTTTGCGTGCAACGATTGGCGGTTCGGGCAAATGTTCAACTTCTTCATCTGGCAAAGCTGTTGATTGATACAAATGCGTTGTGTCCACCATTTCACTAATCGAATGCATATCGTGTCTGGTGTCAGTCGAAACAACGCTACGAGTCTCTGGAATCGATCTCGGTGGCACGGAATCAGGATAATCTGCGGCCCAGCGTTCTTCCGTTGTTTCTTTGTATGTTTTCGAAACAGTTGTGATCGGTGGATGTTCATATCGAGGTATTGGATGCAATTCGGGTACATAGGTGAATTGACTGCGTGCAACATCTTGTGGCAATGAATCGATCGTTATCACGCTTTCGCGATCTTCGTGTGATTCCATAATCGTTGACAAATTATTTCGATCAAGAACGCTTGTGCCAAGACTTTCGGTGTCCGATGAGAATGACGATAGCGGAGCTTGTGGTGCTTGCCGTTTCACTCGCACTTGAACATCGAATGTTGGCGATGGTTCCTTAACAGCGATCGGAAGACGAGACACCAACGATTGCTGGGCCATTGCATTGGCTGTTTGGAATTCTTGGGTGTGACCGTAGTGTTCACTGTAAATGCTCGAATTATCTTGAATGTACGCTTGATTGTCGTAACTTCCACCCGAGCTACCTGGCAGTGAGCGAGTGTCAATTTCGACTTCGGAATGTGATTCACTTGGATAATCCGATGGAATCAATGGGTTGTCATCGCTGCTTGAAGTGCTTGGTAAAGCACCAACGATTGCATGCGCACGAGGTATAATATGTGGTGCTTTCAAGCCTTCCAACGGTGGTACTTGACCGTATGTGCTGCTGCTCAATTTCGTGATTTCGGATCCAGATCCGATTGACATTGGCAAGCGGCGTACAACTGGAATCGTTCGTCGGCTCAAACAGTAGTATGAAACACCTAAGCCGAGCAACAACAGTGTCAAAAACATAATTGCACACACGATGAACAACAGTTGAGCGCCTTTCAATGGCGGCCCGACAACAGCACTGATTGGTGGTCCAATTCTGTTCATTTGGAAAAAGAAGAAAAAAAAATAGCGAAATTAGTCAAAATTCTAAAGAGTTTTTTTGATTACTTTTAAAAGATTGAAGATGCTTACGGTGCAGGTGGTGCAGCTGGCAGTGGAGCAACGGGCGGTGGGTATCGGCAAACAATTGTGATAATTTCATCTCCGTCCATTTCAAGACCAGGGTGAAAACGAACAACAATATTGTTTGTGAACACTCTTTGTGGTTCCTGTGAGAAAAATTCAGATTTCGTTACAGTTTAGCACTCAATCAAATTCAATAGCTGACAAATATTCGAATATTGTGTGAAAAGTAAATAAAATTAAAACCGCACCTGTTTCGTTCCACATCCTTTCAAGGGAAGTTCCAATCGTACGTTCAAGTCGCCTTTGCCCAACGTTTGGCAAGCACTATTTCGGTCAAAATCAGCGTAGGCCAATCCGAAAAATGGTTCAGCGAATTTCATTTCAATCTATCGTATCGGTAAACAATAAAAATGTAGATTCAATTAAAATGCCAAATATGCAAATGAACGCCTTTAGGCAAAGTATTCAGTTGCTCTATTTATTCATTTGAGTAGAGCCATGCAGTGCGTTATTCGAGATCAATAACGATGAAAAAATGGGCTCATAAAAACCATTAGTTGATGACCTTGTTGTTTTTTTTTGTGGTTTTGATTTTACTCTCGAGCGCAATGATGAAATAATTGAATAATAGAGTAGGTGCGCTGTTGTATGGCTTGAAAAAATGTAGTCTTGTGGTGATGGGTGCGTGGATATGGTAAACAGAATCGTTGGTATTCACATGTGTCTTGCTGTTATTGTTGTTTTACAGCATGCGAATAATAAGTGCCAGAAAATTGTTTAATAAACGATAATGAATTAACTCGCTCCATAAATTGCTATCATCGTTGTTTTTGCAATGTGTCCCATTGATTATTTCTCTACTTTTTCTCTCCGTTGTTGTAATTACAGTCAATAAACTTTTTAGTTAGATAATTTGATTGATGTCGATGATTAAAAGTCACTTATCCGCTGTGAATTTCGCAGTCATTAAAAGAAAAATGTGAAAGCCAAATGAAGTTAAAAAGCGTCTTTCTTCTCGACACAAAAACATCTAATGAAATGACATCATGTAAAAGTATTACATTGTCGAGAAAAAAAACTGCTAAGCCCACTATATTACATTGTCATTCCACCAACCAATGAACTAAACCGAATTTGCATCGGCCACGCACAACGCTGTCAATAACGACAACGGTCGTATAAATCCATCAAACAACTCACCTGCATCGAGCCAGCTGCACAATTCAAATACGCTTTTGTTCGATTCAAAAAGATGATCGGGCTTAAATCGTCTAATTTTGTGACCTGCAATGAGAAAATAACCAATTCAAGTATAAATTTATGATCATCATTTATAATGAACAAGGAAAATGTCGTAAATTTTCTATGTGAAAACGTCCAAAAATAATATTCGAGAGCGCGCACACAGATAGCAAAATGTTGCATGTTGAGCGACACATGAAGTGATGATGCGCTGATGCAATTATTCAAGCACAACATGATCGTGTTAAATATAGTTTTTGAAATTTAGCGAAACACATAATTCACAAAAGAGATACAAATTTACCACGGCACATTGCATACAAAAACAATTTATCTATGAAGTCAACTGACAGTTACTTGTTTCATGCGTTACATTAATTTTTCGGAATTATCTACGAGTGCAAATGGGCACAAATCTCTTTGATATAGGGTGGAAAAAGTCATCTAGAAGCCAAATGGTTGACAAAATGAAAATTGTAACGGTTCAATTTCCCTGATCGTTGTCAGGCCAAATCGGCGAATATTGGATTTGGTTGAACGAAAACGGAATTGGAAAGTAAGAAAGCAAATGGCAAGACCGATTGGTATACACGAAATCATATGGAAAAATGAGGAATATCGTTTTGGTTTGTGGCATCAAGTGGGAACAGAGCAATTCTAAATTTAATGCAATGCAATGCAATGAGAATGTCACAAATGTCGCACTTATTTGCAGTGCTATATTTCAATTAAAGCTAATGCGTGTCACATTTTCCTAATACCTCACTTCATCGAATCAAATGGTGGCTTTGATTAAATAATTGTAACATAATAATTGATAGGTAGAATGCAAATATCAACATTCCGCTTGTTTTACGGCTGTCACTAAGCTGTCTCTCCCTTGCGCTTGCCGTCATTCAGTTCAACGCTAATGTCAAACAATTTCCCAAGATTTTTGCTCCGGCAAAAACGAAACGAGTTAGATGTGGGAAAAGAGATTGAGAAAAAAAGCAACAACATCGCATAAAATAGCTGGTAATTTTGTGTTCTAATGAAATATGCAATATGCATGCGTTCAATGAACAATGTGACCACAATTAAATTCTGCAACGATACAAACGTTGATTGCGCGACAATTTAAATGGCTTGCTTGAACCCGTGCATTCTTTTATTCCCACATCACATTGTAAAATCGTCTTCGACTCTTTGTACAATGTACATGCATCTGCATTTGCTAAATAATGATGATACATGCACATGATAATTCAATCCTATTTGTTTGTTGTACGCCCGACACCCGACACAACTCATAAAATTTCCGAGCACATGTGTGTAAAAATCGAATTACAAAATGGGTAAGCACTTTTAATCCATTTGCCGTGCCAAGAAAATGTCATTTTGTCATGTTCACGAGCTAGTTTGACGAATCTTCTTTGCCATCTTTCTACTATGTCTAACAGAAACTTCTTGTTGTTCTTCCGTTTTTCTTTCTCTTTTGTTTTTGCTTGCTTCTCCAATTCAACGAATAGATTTTTCTTTGCTTTTAATTCGATGACAATCGTTCATTAGGTTGGTAATAATACGCGAAATACGCCGACACTATCGATTCAAAATCTCTAGAATGGAGTTAGATAGTTTAGCAATTGTGGTGCTTTGATCGTCAGATAGCTATCGAAATTGAATCTAATGTCAATGTCAAAGACCCTGAACAACGATTAATTAAAGACCATCCTGTATATGGTAGGTAGTCGTGTGCCAGTCGGTTGAAAGCTAATTTCAAGGTTAGACATAGTATTTTCAGTTTGGAACGTCACTTTTAAAGCCAATTTATCAAAATTCAGTGAACGATTTCATTACGTTACCGCCTCATCGGCCGTAATGAACTGGCTGAACATAAAGAATCGAAGCAGAAAAAACAATAATAACATTTACAACAGGCAACAGCCGTGGTCAAAGAACATGGAAAATAACAGACAAAGAAGTAGTAAAACATTTAATTAAACCGAGTTATTTATCTTCTTCCCATGTCAGCCAGAGCACAACCGAAGCCAAGCCCAAGCTCAGTCGTGTTGTTTTTATCATTTTTGCTAATTGACATTGCATCGCATAGAAATGGTTTTCAAGATTTTCCATCCGTCGTCTATTTGGTGATCACTTTTCATTTTTCAGATTAAGTTCTTAAGTTCCCTCGCTTTTTTCCCATCTATCCATCGGCCAATTTAATTACTTTTTGTTTCAGCCGACCGTTTCGAAAACCCATTTGCAATTTCATTTATTTTTTTCATTCATTCATTTCTATTCTCAATGCTTATTTCCTTGCCACACGTCTTTGTCATAACTGAGAACACAGCAGTACATTGCATTGATGCTCAGCCAGGCTAATCGAAATAATTGACAGGTAATTTATAATAGAAGCTTTGTGTTCACCACATAACATACACACATAGGCACACGTAATAACACGAGAATTTCAAATTGAACAGAGGCTCAATTCAATTTCGATGAACTCATGATTGATTCTTTTTAAGCGTCTGATTCATGTTAATTAGTCGTCAGCGCGATATATTCACCTTTATTTATATGTAATATGCGTGATTCACCGATGTGTAAACATTGCTTTTGAATGTGAAATGAATTGTAATTGAGTCGTAGACAATTTCGCTCAACTCTCGTTATTAGTTAGAATTTTTCAATTAAATGCAAAAATGCGTCGACATGACAAAGTGAAATTTTTCAATTAGCACACATTTTCTTAATTGGAAACAAAAATTAACAAAGTAATCACGTGTGGAATTTCCTATAAGGATTGTTTTTTTCTTTGTGTTTATTGTTTGCCCGCGAGTACTTTCCATTGCTACAAATGCCACGGGATATCGTTTCGTTTTAGGTTTGTTTATTTTTAGCTTTGAGAATATTCTATGCCAAATTCAATTTAAAAGATTCTTTCAAATTCGTTTTTCCTGTTTTCAATTACTCGTTTTTTTGGTTGAAGCAAAGATGAATTATGAATTGAAATCTACAAGAATATGTTATTAATCGAGACGGTTTGCGAACGAGTGCTCGCGCGCCACAAAGAATTTATTTTATTAATTTGCGATTTATTCGCGTGTCGTTCACAATTTTTTCTTCTTCTTCTATTCCTTCATTGATATACAAATGTGTGCTGTCTTCGAGGTTCGCGCTTGCAACTTATTAAACATGTCGAAATAATTTATATTGAACCAATTTATTTGAGTGTAGGTGTAATAAAATCTCTCTCTCGCTCAAGTTGTTTGTTTCAAATGGTTTTGGTTTGTTTGTTTCGTGTGTGTGTTTTCGTTGAAATTTATGATTGTAGATTGGCTCGGTTGGTTCCGTCAACGTGTGTTTTTCATGTGTCGGAAAAATGATTTAAGACATATTCGCATTAAAATATTCAACAATTTTTCGTGTGTTGCATTGGCAAGCGATTGAATCATGTGATATTGCATGCAGTGTGTTGTGTGTGCATCTTTTTGTTCGTGTTCACCCACGATGGTCCGAACCATCAAATGTGCGGCGAATTTGTTCGAGGCGCAGAGAGTGTAATCAGTATTGAGGCCGGTGTCATTTCATTCAAATATCGTCAGTTATTGAAAGACTATGGCAGAAGCCTGAAACAGCGCACCGTTGCCGTGATTGCAAATAAAATGCTCGGCAATCTCTTCGTTACGCCATACACTCCATTTAGGCGCATACAGATCGAGCACAATAATTCATGTGCGCATAAGTGAAGGAATGATCAGGGCGAGCGGCCACAAGAGAGACGTCACACACAAAAACACAGAACGCACGTTGAGAATGTTGTCGTTGTGCCCGTTGGTTACACATCACATAATTCATCAAACGTTCCTACTTCCACCATGCACTGCACACATTTTTCTTTTCCCCGTTTTTTGTGTGTGTCTCTAGCCAGCTTTTCCATTAAATTGTGAGTGTGAGTGTGACTATTTGCTTTTGCTGTGTGTCGACACAATATAATATGCCAAATGCACTGGAGAGCGGTCGCGGGAGAACAGCGTGAAGAAAATTAGCCGAGAAATAATGAATTAAGTTCATTGGCTTTCATTGCGAGCGACAAGGCGTATGCCGTGTCGCACAGTGATCAAAGTGTGAAAAAAAGACGCCAATTTTAACGCGCGCGCACATACAAAGCTCTATTTGCACTGGAACAAAAATACTCGCATGAAACCATGATGCTACAATAATGCGGTCAGGATTTTGCGTTTTTTTTTCTTTAATTTCACGCTTAAATCGGGAAAATGAAGAAGCGGCATCAGCAGCAGCACCAACTACACGGAATCAGATTATGCAATAGAAAATGACTCTAGAATTCGCACGCACCGAAACATCTTCTGGCACGCCACTTATGCAATCAAATTACAGAGTTGAATGTTCGTTCAATCTGCAATTTCATGTTTCGTGTTGAATTCTTCGTTCGCCTTTTTTTCATAAATCATTCTTAATCTGCTGTAAGAGTCTTTGATTGCAACTTGCACTTATCCAGTGCACAAAAAAATGTTTATGTATGTTTTCGAATCGAAAGAGACATGATGCCGACAAGTAATAATCGAAATATTATGCAACTGAGCCAGATTCTCGGTTCAGGCTTTCTACGTCTCCGATGATCAAAGTATCGCAAGTAGGGAAATTGCGAGAGCAGACCTCTAATTGCAACCGACTGCTCCGTTCGTCAACCGATGCATGAAAGTGTAATTGAAATGCAGTCGCAATTCAGCTCTCAGCTGAACTCACGGTGATACCGTTTGATTTAATTACATTGACTATTTCTAACTTTTTCTTCGTTTCATTCGGCTTCTTTTTTTCATTTATTCCTTTGATCGCCGTTTATTTTTTTCTTGTTAAACTGTATACATTTGCAACGATTAACGTGCAATGCTCATGTTGGCCGTGTGTTCGGATTTGGTTCTTTCATTATCGCGTTTCCGTTTCAATTTGTACATAGCTGTGAACTGTACAACACAAGCGAAAGAAAAAAACGCGCACCAAAGTAACCACCGTGCACGCATTTATCAATGTGCGATTGCATAATGTCTACAAGCGACATTAAATAAGATTTATTACAACACGCATTATTTATTTAGCATGTTATCTCTCGATGCAGCACAGATCGGCTGCAAGCCAATATACGTACAACGCATTGCAATTTAACCGAGAATGTGATGATACGGAACGAAAACAACGAACCGAACCGAATGAAAAAAAGGGGCAGAAAAAAAAATCGCGGACACGATAGACACGACAGATTGAAATAGCGGCAATGCTTGCGGTGTTGAATGCTTCTTTTTGTCGTCGTCGTCGTTGTTTGCTGAAATTCCATAATTTTTCTCTTTCTTTTTACTTACTTTTCCATCGAGTGTCGCTTCTCCGGGCAAACCCTCACCCAAGTAGTTGACGTTGTTCGCATGCGATGCATAGTTTGACTGGCCAACGGCATTCTGTACCAGCAAAACAGCGATTAGCGCTAACGTGTAAGACCACATCATTCGTTTCATCAATCTGGGCCTCATCTTATCTGCAAAAAGAAAAGAAGAAGAAAAAAAATTGAAAAAACACAATTATCATACAAATTCTTAAAATGGAAACAAATTCAAGTGAAACCATTTTTAATGGGTTTTACATTCAACAAGTGAATCAACAAACAGATGCAATGACAAAAGAAAAAAAACAGCAACAACAACCGACGATCGTAATGCTTTCAGTTCAAATTGTGTATTCTGTCATCAATTCCAGAGAATATTTCAGACTGATCATAATATTTATACACAATGATTTCATCTCGACTGTGTTTTTGTTGGGCTTACTTCTCTCGTTTAAACTTTGTGGTCAAACTTGTTATCCGTGAACAGAATTTCAAGTGAATTTTATTTTTAGTGTTTTGTTGATTTTTCCAAATGATATGAATCAGGCGACCGAAAAGACTGAACATGAAATGCCGAAAAGGAAGATTATGCGTTGAAAAAGAGAAAAATAAAATTTGAAGCAAAAGAAACGTAACCAACGCAGAAGCGCTTATTAGCGAGCAAGTTGAGTGGATGAAGTCATGGGTCATTTAGAGAAGATTAGGTATTAAAATGCTTCAATTTTAATCCGAGCCTATGGCTGAAACGCTACAGGAACCAATTTATTCGTCATATTTTTTTCAGCCTCTCCTCTGAAATAATCAAGTGGATTCTTAATGGATTTTTTTTCTACAAATTTCTTCGAAACAACATGGACTTTCCGCTCGGTCATTATTATTTCGCATGAAGACACGTTCAAAAGAGAGAAAAAACGACGTTGAGCGGTTCACATCATTAGATTGCAAATTATGTGCGCACCGTTCTCGTTAAAAAGTATGTGTTGACAAATTCACATGTATCCCGCCCACCTATTTAACAAGTTTCATTATGACTGGGCCGCGTCGATCATTAATATTCTGCTAAAGAGCATTTTGATGCATAAATGCCAAAGCTTCTTCTCATCGATAAATAACCGTGCTTTTTATTCAACACAAACGTGCCAGAGATGTGTTCAGATTACAAATGCAGTATCTGCTTGCTACAAGTCGTGTAATTGCCATTTCATGCGACCGATAAACCATTTCCGTGGACGTCATTTTTTGAACGTATTGAATTTATCATTCATTTTTTGGCTTACAATAAAAAAAGGAAAAATTGGGCTTGATTCGAATACTCGAATGATTCGTTTCGATGCATTTTGCCGCGTTGGAATTGCGTGCGGAATTCAAAATAAATTATTCAGCCTTCATGCAGCGATAAACATCAAATTGCTTCGATTCAATACAGGCGGACCACTTTTTTTTCATCCAGAAGTTAATCAAAAATAATTATATTTGATTGAAACACATTTTTCAAAGCGATTGATTCATCATGTTTTTCATTCACCAGAAACAAAAGAAGATGAGAGCATGAAAAAAGGCGAATCCGGTACTGCAAAAAAAGTGGATAATGAATTTAATCGACGCGCATCAATTCCGTTAGCGATTGCATTGATTGCGCAGAGAAACATTCAACGGATTAGGACATTAGGTCAAAAGAACAGAACCAAAAACATTGAATAGAAAAGCGCATAAAACCAGTCGCCATGTAACTGCATTAACCAGAAAATACGGTGCAGCGCGCTGCGCGCATCATTTTATTTTTAACACGTTTGGCGCTAACATTCAATTTATCATTTTGCTCAAATGCATAATAATTTTTGCAACTGTTATTCAACGCCAATGCACTGCAACGCTGCTCATTTTTCAGCATCTCTCTGGGTTGGCATTTCATGCATTAGCTCATCGATCTTTTCGGTATTTGGTATATGTGTGTGTGTGTGTTTGGAAACCTTTAACATTTCCACTGACCACACAAAACGGAACACGTTTCGATGGGAGGCAAAAAGCACGCACAAAATGCAATTACATCGTTATTCGAATAATGGAAAATGTTTTTTTTCGCTCGTCTATCTGTACGAAATAGGCGATAAACTCACTGGGTTACTACTTTAATTAAATGAAACGGTTGGTGGAACCCATTGAGAAGCATAGATTCGGTACTGCGATATTGTGTTGTTTATTGTTTGAATAGCCGCCACCACCGCCGTCCCGCGAAAGCATCGTACAATCATAGAGTACCAAATAGTGTGTTTCATACCAAATCGTTTTGGTTCTAACTTTCGCAAGCACACTAATAATTGACGCTAAGCTAACTGTTGACGCCGCTTCCAACGTGGTTTCTGCGTAATCCACTGACTCTAACCAAAGCACTGGCAACAACATTTTGTTTGTCTTCTTTTCGAATGAACCTTTCTTCGCATAACAAAACCAGGCTAAGCTACATGTACGAATTATTGCGAGAAAATGAACGTAAATTTTTCGAAACATTTGATGAAAACGATTCGCAAAGAGGAAATTCTAATCGCCGACTAAATGATTACATTGCGATTAAATGAAACGCAATTATACTTTTTACTCAACGCAGTGAGGCTGATACAATTCTCGAGCGCACTCTCATTAAATAATACCTTATTAGCGGTTTGAATTAATGAACAAAACTATTGAAATACCTTTTCCACCGAGTGTGTTTTGTGTGCTGCTGTTTCTTTTTCTTGGTTCAATTCGGTTTTGTTATTCAGTGAATCTTTGAAAATGGTTCGAAACTACAGTGGTCAACGCTTTGATTTCGGCTGAATAAAACAAAATTACGGGATTTTGATGATTGTTATATGTGATCGCCTCAAGTGAGATCCGCACGTTAATGAGGTGAAAAGAGCGTGCACGCATCGGATTCATTTCCAACGCAAACAATACGATCATTTTGCACACACTTTATTATTATTGTTATTACGATTGGAAATGTACTTTTCGCCGCTGACAAAAAGTGATTCATTTCTTCGATTGAAGGGGAAATGAAATAAACATACTTGACGCCAGGCAGGTGCAAAACACACAGTAACGGTTTGGATTTGCTGATCTTCTGTGCATGTGTGTGTATTTTTTTCAGACCGCCATTGAATCGCAGTGGCCGCAAGGCAGTTTGACCGTATGATGAATACAAATAATAAAATAAATTCGTTTCGCTCATCCAGCTCGAATATGATGCGTGCAGCATCGCTTGAGGTTTTTTTTCCTTTTGTTTTATTGGTGTTTTGTATATTTAATTCCAATTTGATATTCTTCGGCTGAATCCGAATCATTCTCTCACGCATTCAAAATGTTTGCTTTTCGTTCAAAAATTCTTCTCTCCGCTTTTCGGATGAACCAGATAATTATTATTATTATATTCTTCATAATTCTGTTTTTTTTGTTTATAATCCAACGAGAAAACAAAAAAAAATAAAAGAAACAGAACGACTATAATCGTTCTACGGCATCGAATAAACTGTGGAAGCGAACGGTGTGCGCATCGTCAAATGTGAATAAAACGGTGAAAAAAGATGCCGACCGAAAAGAAAAATGAAAACAGAAAACACACACAAAATTGAAGCATGATATACAAAATTAGACCTCGGCACAGGAATCAGTTCTCAGAAGTAGCGATAGCACAAACAAAAAAGACACACACTCACACAAATGTTAAAAACAAAACCCATCTTATAACGGTTTCCAGCATCGAGCTGATGCTTCTAATGATCTAACTTGACGGAAGCGCAAGCACACGGTCGATCTCAACTGTAAGTGTTGATATACTTCAACTGTCACCGACACTGCTCAACGCTATTTCGTGAAACTTGAACTCGATCGTTGAAGTTCACTGAACAAGAAAAGAAGTTGAAATTTTAAAGTAAAATCAGATTAATAAATCGCGCTCGCGAGTGTGGCAAACAAAAGAAATGCCTTTGTTAGTTTTTGTTTTTCGTTTCTATTCCATTTAGAATATCTGAGTATTCAAGCCAGCAAAATTAGATTTATCGGTGGCTCAAGTCGAGCTTGAGAAGAGTACACAGCATAAAAACGTGCAACTCTATTCATTTGGAATTGTTTGCAAGAAGTGTGAAGCTCACACTTCGACTCGATCCAAACGAGTTATTATTTGTGATCGAAAATATCGATAACAGCCCATAATCTTGAAGCAACAGAAAACACGCCTTTTGTATTCTTCATCTTTTCTGTTCGCTTCAAAATATTGTGAAATACGATTTGAATTCAATTTAAATGATATGACTTGTGTTGCTTCGAAAATTGTTTTCTGCGCCACGTAAAGGAAATACGATTAAGTCATCGATTCTAATAATACTTAATTAGGGTCAAGACATTTTCGGGCAGTCAAGAATATCGAGGAAAATGATTAGGAAAACACGTTTTGATCGTGTCATAGAAGTAATAATTTCATTGTTCTGACATTCCGATTGGAGGTGACTTTTAAATGCTACATCATTTAATTGAATGGTAAAATAGTGCAGAGTCACTGAACCAACTCAAACAAAGCATCATCATCGGTCCAATTGAGCTTTAAATTAAAAAAAAAAAGAAATAGAAAAAACATTGTTCCAAAATAACATTTTCTCATCCCAAAAGACCTTGTGAATCTGGTCACAAAACATGAAATTTCATTCAAACGATCATTAGGCGAATATTTCTCCACGATTTTATTGTGTTTTTTACATCTTGATATTTTCGCACTCGGACCATATGGTGGTAAGGATAAGTGAAAATTAAACATTTTTTATGCTCGACTAATAACAATGGACATTTCATTGAATATCCCGCCACTTTCACTCTATCACTGAATTCACTTGAACCATCTAACTTATTTTTTGTTTATAAAAATGGGATCGCAGAAATGTCGAGTGTATCTTTTAAATCCGAGCATCATCACAGTATAATTATGAATAATGAAGCATAATTTCATCGAAGCGGCTGAATTTCGGAGATGCGAATCATTTCATACAATATTTCGAGCAGAAAAAGTGTTTCTTCCAAATCACATGGATTAATTTTAAAATGAAACCTGCTTAAAATGCGCACCATTAGACACCAAATCGCTTTGACCTCGTGGGATGAGCTCAACAGTGTCTCAGTGCGTTGTG